TATGTACTGTATGCACAAAAGTCTTTATCCGGCTTTTTATTTTTGGAACTGTTTATTCAGGGTTCGTAGTGGTCCTTACAAGTGCTTATAAGTCCTTATATTTGAAAATAAAATATAAAGGCCCTTATAGGTGCTTACTTTTTCTTTAAAGCCCTTATTTTTTTGTTTTTAGTGCTTATTTTTTGCTTTTAGTGCTTTTTTTAAATCCTTTGTTTTTAATGAACGCGCATTTTTCCCCCATACCAAAGCCGAAACTAAATAAACAACTTTTCTTCCTTATATGCAATGTCAGATGGTGAATCATACTCCCGGAAATTGCTTTCCCCCTTCTTCTGCATTAATGTAACCAATGGTGCACGCGAGAGTACAGACAGGTGCATGTCGTTCTATTGGCCAAAGAATTGCAAAAACGGTAGAAAATTCCGGTACATTCGGCATTCTTTTCCTCCCACCCAAATACTACACACGTTTGAATTTCTATCAAGATTTTTATAATTTGCATTCTCGTTCCGCATGGTCAGTTCATATTCGTGTTTGTTATGATCGTTATGCTTATATTATGAGCATATATGCATGAATATTTATAATAATATAGTTGCAGTAACTGCTGAAGTATAGATAAACTTCCAAAAAAGGGTGTGTTTTTACACAGATTAGCTTTCTAAGGAATAATATTCAGAATGGCTTAAATAAAAGGAAAGTAATCGAATAGTCAAAATAATTTCATTTTCTTTGCCAATACATTATACAGTACGGAGGTTGGGAGTTTCTCCGCAAAATCTCTAATATTGAAGCAGCGGACTTTTTTTTGTCACTGTCCAATCTGGATTGAATAGGACTAAAAGTTTTTGCGGTCTACCCAACCCAATCCAAGATTGATTCTATTCCGGAAATTTAATACATTTTGTTGAAAATTAGATTCAGAAACACCCTAGATTAGTAAGTCTCTTTCTTTTCCTTTATTTAGTTCTTTATTCTCCGAATACCGGCAGGTGTTGATTCCAATTGCGCACTATCACATATGGAAGAATTATGCCGCAATACTTGCGGCATAATTCTTCCATATGTGTATTGCGCAATAACGTTTGTTAAAAGTATTGCGCAATAACGTTTGCCAAGTATTGCACAGTAACGTTTGCGGTATTTTGCATCGATAATTAATTTTGGTGTTCAGTATGAGATTTGTTTATGAACACTTAAAAGAGTTTTACTGTGCTTTTGCTAAGCAGAATATTTTTCAGTTCCGTTGGGCTATTTTATATGAATGCACATATATCGAAATGTCAAAAGCATTATTTAGCCTAAATTTAAATCTAAAGAACGACTACTAATCTACCCCCCCCTCCAGTTTTTCCAGTTACTATGCTCCGGAATATCTCAGAATTTTCAGATATTTGGCAATTTCTGAGTATGCCAATTAGTTAAGCTTTTACTGTTAAAGGATGACCGCATGAAGCAATTTCCCCGTCTTCTGATTTCAGGAAATGTTCCTTTTTTTACTTTTTTTACTTAAATTACTTTGTTTGGGATATATGTTAAGGGAAAACTGTTATGGAATGAAAATTTAGAAAATGTTCAGAATTTTGATTTAAGTTAAATTATTTAAATATTAATATGAGTGGGAAAATAAGTTGTATTTATTATTAGGTGCCAAACGAATACAATTAATATGGCTTATTATTATTGATTTTCCATATTTTCAACTGAAATATCATCATTAAATTTTGTAATATAGTTCTGCATAGTTTTTTTCTCTCATTGTAAACTAATTCTGTAAATTGAACTGTCATTTAAAATTTAAAAAAAAAAAAAAAAAATTGTTTTCCATTGTTGAGGTAATGCTGATTCTCGTAATAAATATTGCATTGCTCATATTTTAAATTACAAGTCTAATTTTTCTTTTAAGGTTATGCAGTTGTGTATAATGTAATTAGACAGGTGCTTATTTTTTCCTTAAAATGTGCTTTAAAAGTGCTTATAGGTGCTTATTTTTTTAACTAAAATGTGGCTATGAACCCTGTTATTGTAGACATATACTTTCAATCACAGAAATATTTTAAATGAATAAAAAGATTCATTTTTTCATATTTTTAAATTTAAAAAAATTAATTTTATGTAGAATACAAAATCTACCTATTTAGATATTCCTACAGCCCCTATGCATATATCTAGGAAAATTTTATACTTGTTATAAAAAGTCAAACACAAAAAGTTTGATTCCTTCATGATAATAATTGACAGAAATATTTGGTATTGAAATCAGGAGTCATATTCAAGGACCATACAGAAATTAGAGTGAATTGTTTGCAATTATATGTGACTAAAAATAAAATGTCATTTAGAAAAAGGTTTCTCGTATTAAGAGATTATGTGATGAACATTTCTCTGCAAATTAATAAAAAAAAAATATTGATCAGTATAATTTTTTCCCAAAATGGATGTGTGATAGATTTGTGTTCTAGAAAATACTGAAAGGCTTTTGTAGGGTTATATAACCAACTCATAATATTACTTTCATGGATTAAGAGTGAAAAATATTTGTACTTTTACCTAACATTTTTAAGATAACCAGATATCGATTCTAAAATAATTAAAACTTCATGAGAATATTAGTAACATATTTTTCAACTTTGATAACTTATAAATTACTTGTGTGAAAGTTCTTTCAGTATACTAATGTTGCAAAATTATAAATAAAAAAATAGGGTACTCTTCTGTTTTGAGGGCCGGAAAAAAATTGCAGCGAAAATGTATGCGCAAAAGCGCCCATTTAACAGTGTGCCAAATCTAGCGTACGCGTTGGTTTCAGATTGCATAAGTTTATATAGTTCTATATTTCTTAAGACGCCATTGAAATACTAGTTTAATTTTTAAATCCTTTTTTGATATCCTATGGATTTAAGAATTTGGAAATTGCCCATGACGAAAAGTCGGCAATAGAATTTTGGGTAAAGTGCAGAATAACCCACTGCTTGACGCGTTTTTAAGAATTGCTCATACTCGGTATCCACATGCACATCGACTATTTTCACTTTAAAAAAAAATCCCAGAATTGCACAAAAATGGCACTGTGCACCCCCTTGACTTTATCTATGTACACATCAACCTATTTTCATTTAAAAAGTAAAATAAAATTGACAAAAATCCAATTGTTTTTACCCTTGTGAAAAGCGGCAAACAAATAAGTGAGCAATTCTGCACCTCTGAATTCCGATTCTGAATATTTTCAAAGAAAAGGCATCATTCATTATAGAAAATTATGCTTGAACAACCAACGAGATGAAATTATGCTTTAGCGATAAGTCGGTAGAGAAATAGCGATGCAAGCATCCATTCAGTTATGTTTAGCAATTTTTATATACTGCTAAATTATAATAATGATCTGAAATAGTTATTTACTCTTATCCTTTCATTCAGTCATGTTTAGACTTTTTCATATAAATTAGAATAATAAAAATGTATTATATGAAATAAACCTTTCATCTAAATTAAAACATCAATTTTAGATCGTTATTTACTATTACACTTCCTTTCTTGCCGCAATTATTAGGGTTGCCACAATTATTTTTGGCAGCATTGGCATCAACAATAGTTTGGTGATTTTTACGTCCCTCGAAACCGAATAGTACCAGAAATAGTAAATCATAAAGGATTTTCATTGAATGACATTTAAGTAAGGAAACTCAACCTCAAATTATTATAATTTGTTTATTAACTCTTTGCACTCGAGACCTTTTTCACTTGGGCAAACCAGCAACTCGAGACAGTTTTCTACATATTTCGTGAACTTCTTATGGCTAATTTTATTTAATACACAATTGAAAAATATAATGCTTCTTTTATGTCTGAAGATACTTGCGATCTTGTGGTTATTTCATGGGATGCAATTAATATTCTATGTGGTATTTCTTCGGTTTTACATTATCCATTTTGAATTTTCTCTCTTTTCTGCTGAATCACTGTCGCTTTCATTTTCACTATTCTATTACATTAAATTTTCGCCTTCTTACACCTTTTACTTCATTGCTATCTTCATCACTGCTTTTCTTTTCTCTATCATCAAGTAATCTGTGCATATACATAATTTTATTCTTCATCAGCAAAAGATAGAATTCAAGTGATTTCTTCATGATATTCCATGTTTAATGAGCTCCGTAACTTTGGAAATAATATTCCTATTACCATGAATGTCAAGTTCGAACTAACATCAAAGACACATATAACAGTAAATCTAAAAAAAAATTTATTTAAGATTAAAGATTGGCAGTTATTTTATACATATGTATTGTTGAATGCAGTCATGAAGCAATATTGACCAAACCAAACCTAAATAAATACCATAACCGCCCGAATTATTGCATTAAACCAAGTGGTGATCGAGAATCACCTCTCGAGTTATCGCATCAAATCAAATGGTGACTGAGAGTCACCTCTTGAGTGCAAAGATTCACACCATTTTAAATTTGCATTGAAGGGTTACTTCAATGCAAATTTAAAATGGTGTGAAATATTGCAAATTTTGAAACTGAGTATTTCTGTTAATTTTTGTTATATGGGAGTTAAATTTTTTCTATTTAATTTTTTTATAACAAGTACAAAATTTTCTTAATCATATGTTTAAGGACCAGAGGAATTTAAAAATGTTTTGATTCTTTATTTTATACAAAATTAATTTATTTAATTTGAGAATATGAAAGCTTGAATTTCTCATTGTTTAAAACTTTTTTGTAATTGGAAGTATATAGTCGATCAAGATTGGAAAAATAAAGGCAGAGTAAGGACTTTGTGGATATGGCATGTGTATGTCTTTTGGGTAATAAAGCAGGCTGTTTTTCTGATTTACTTGAAATGTTAGTTTATCTATACTGAAATTTAATAAAGTGATTTATAAATGAATGTTTCATACTTATTTTCTTCCCCCCCCTTTTTTTCCCCACAGACTTCTCCTTTTTTAAATAATGGTGTAATTTTCAGTTCTTTTAACTATACTGTCTTTTTAGTTGAAAATGTCAAGTAAGCTTAAAAGGATAATTTCTGTTCCTGATGTTAAAGCTCTGTATAACTCTGAGATGAACTTCAGGTCAAAACTCATTTCATATCAGGTAATTGCTTATATACTTTTTGCAATCATTAGAAAATGTTTTGGATTTTAAATTTCTTAACTCTCCATACATCATTTTTCATGGCTACGATAAAGCTGTCTATATTATCATGCATAAAATGTAGAATTGTAGAAAACATATTAGGGAAATATTTATATGAAATAAATTTTAATTATAAAAGTCATACTGTAAAATGTATCGCTTAAATCTGATTGTTATGGATTTACTTAGTATAAAATTTCATTAAATCTTTATTTTCTTTATCACAGTGATATCAGTCAGTGGAACCACAAAGATTTTGCAAAATTCTGTCAATTCCTCAAGTTTTTTTTAAAAGTTTATATTTTTATTTTTATACTGTATATTGTATACTATATATTACTTTTGTTTAAAATTAACCACATCACCATATTCCCCAAAACAGACATGTTGATTTGCAAAGTGTCTTCAGTCATCAATAATGGCACACACATATCGGGGTCAATTGCAGTGTGCATCATTACCCCTCCCCTAAGAGACACTCTAGGCTTACTGTTTTTGAACCCCTCCAGAATGCAGTGAAAATGAAAAGCAATGACCTCACGGCCGGGTGAGTCATATTTGAATCGCCATTTAATTCACTCTGTGGCCGGGCATACCACATTTGACTTTTTAGATAGACAAATGCACGTGTTCTCGATGCTTTGAGGTAATTTTTATTTTTATTTTTGCAAAATAGGTATCTGAACGTAGAAGAATATACACAAATGCTAATTTATTAGTGTTGAGTAACATGCTGGCTCTTACTGCCTCATTTCATATAAACAAATGAACATGTTCTCGATGCTCTGGAGTACTTATTAATTTAATTAATTTTTTATTTTTTTAATCCTCCATAATAGTGGAGTAGCTGTTCTATCATTAGCAGTCTTTTTTATTACTCTTAGATTTTTCCAGTCATTGAGACGAATATTTTTGTATGGCTTAGTGAAAGTTTTTTTTTTTTTTTTATGTTCTATTACTGGTGTTATATTTTTTTAATGGCAAAACGAAATCGCTATCTGACCGTAGAAGATACACAAATGCTAAATGAGTCAAATTTGCTGATATTCTATTCCTGTGACATTTACAACGTTGGACTTTGCGTACACCCATGTTTCAAAGAATATCATACACTGTCTCTTTTTTGAAATATTGCTTCCTTTTCGTTGTTTTCATATTGAATTTTTATGAAAGACAGTTTTAATATTTTTTAATTTTAATTATGTGTTGTGTTAAATAAAATCTGCGATTGTTTCAATATTTTTCCATATATATTTAATTATGGGATAAAGGAAAAATGATATTATTCTAGAATGAGTATTTTATAAAATTTTTAAGGAAAATATAACAATAAAGTTTTAAAATTAATTCTGACAACTACCTGAATGTTCTTCTCATAATGTACCAAAAATTGGAAAAATTGGATGACAAATTTAATTTATACGAATTTTTTTATAAAGTTAAGCTTAGCAGCGCGAATTGCCCGTCCCCACAAGATGGCGTATCCGGTTAACGCGCCGTCCCAAGAGAACGCTTTGGTAATAGAGGTGCCCGTCATGAACGGGTTAATAGGTCCACAGCCAAGTTAAAACAGGATTATGCAAAAGCATGTTCAAAGACGGGAAATAGGAATTCATTTCCAGGTCTCTTTCAGTTGGCATTGCAATGGAACTAGTGCTGATTTGAAAGCATGGCTTTAGGGAATTGTCTTTGTTAATTTTCAAATATGATACTAGGGAATGTAAAATAATTTCTTCTTCGGAGTGTGGAGATGATATTCAAGATCCAAGTAGGTGGTGTGCCTTCACAAGCTGATGAAAGGTGGGGAAGAAACAGTTCGAAGGCCAAATTAGCATGTAAAAAGAATGCAAAAGAATTATTTAGCATAAATTACCATGTGTTTCTGCATATGAAGCTCAAAACATGGAATTTTAAACTTTCTGTCATTTCTGAAAATCAAATTTATGAGAACTGAAAAATATGAAAAGAATTATTGCTCCTGTTTTGCAACAAATCTCTCTTGAATATAGTGTATAATCTCTCCTGGCAGAAATACAAACCTCACATCTTTATTTCATGCAATTTACTAAAGCTCTTGACCAAGTCTCGTGGAATTGCAGGTGAGTCTTGTAAAAGTACATGTTTCAGATCTTGAAGGGTCCGGATTTGGCATGGTGCATTTTAGCAGCCTAATGCTTCTCTAACATGCTGAACCAGGTTGAGCCTGGTGAGTAATTTGGCAAATTCATTCAAATGTTATCTTTCATTTATATGCATTTTTAGAGATACTTGATTCAGGTGAGCATTATCATCCATTAGCAATACATCTAGACAATCAGCAACCCTAAACAGACTTATGTTGGAATATGTTTTGAATGTACCTGTCTGAAGATGAATGTGTGATAAAACATTTGTTTACTAACATAATATACAAGCTCATAAAGCCTTCTTACAGCAGTACAACAATTGAGTTCGTTGGCAGCATAAAGGTCTAAATTTAACTATGTTATTATTGTGTCATGGTTTCTTCAAACTGACAATAACAGAAAATGGTCTTTAGATATGATTGTCGCTCATGACTGCTCTACGCCAGGTTGTCTTCTAACTGATTCACTGCTTAAAAGAGCAGTTCCGAAATTCTTGATATGACATTTTGAGGGATCTTGCATAACCTTCATTTGTATTTGCTTCATCTCAGGTCTATCAATTAACTGTTTTTTCTGTCATTTGCTTAAATGATGCTTCTGGATCATAACTAATAAATACTGACCACTCTCTGACATCACATTAATTTGAACAACTCTACATACCTGATTTTTGACATTGTGCAACACATTTTCAGTCATCTAACTTGCATATTGCATGTACTATACCAAGGAATTTCAACTTTTTTTGCCCCTTGCAGCCTTTCACCATTGGTAGAAGCACCATTCCCCACCCCTCCTTTCCAAAACTCAAATAAATCTATACAATTATCTAGATTTAGATTAATTTTAATGGGTTTTATAAATTAAGCAACAAAAACTGCTTAAGATGTTTGTAAATACTAAAACGTGAATAAAAGTAGCTTTTTATAGTTATTGAAACTAAATAGTATCAATCTTAATAAAAGGATAAAAATGTTAATATGACACTTAAATAAAAGGCTGACCCACTGAAGTATGAAATTCCCCTTAGGGGTATTCCCTTAATCTCTGTACTAAGCTATATGCAGAAGTACACTCAGTTGCAACTAATTTACATAAATAATTACATCATTATAGATTGGATTAAAACCTTAATCACCAAACATAGTTTTACTTACTTGTAGGAAGTAAAGGAAGTATTGTAACTATAGAAATTTTTGGGTATCATATTTCAACGAAAATAACCATTTTGACTGCTTTGGAATCCATTTGAGTGATGTTTTTGCATGACGTCTGTACATATAGACATAATAACTGGCCTCAGAAAGTTGAAATTTTATATATAGGACTGCTATAACAGGTAGCTATGCACCTCCCTTTTTGGTTGCAATTGGCCACATCAAAAGTTTATAAATATATATATATATATATGTGATGTACCAGCTTTAGTCGTAGCTTAAATTATCAGACGATAAGTTTAAAAAAAAAAACAGGATCCATTTATTATTATTCAGGAGAAATAGCAGTTACAAAATCAGATATCCGGAGTAAATAAAAAGAATTACTAATAACTTTTTGTATGAAGTTTACTGCATCATGACATTTAAGAAAAAGCCCCCGATATTCCTTTGCAGGTCCTTTTATAGCCTCTGGAAAGGCAAAGCTTCAAAGAAATGACGTCAGCCAATCCAGTTCGCTTTAATTATTTCCAGAACATTCTATAACTGTACATGTAGAAAAGGTGGGAAAAACAACTTGACTACGGGGCTGTGGATTTAATTCCACGTACTTTCAAATAAGAGAACATCGCCATTAAAAATGAAAAGAACATACAGTTAGAATTTTAAGTGTATTCTTAACTATGGAATTTTATTATTACAAAATATTCCCCCCATCTGAAAAGGCTTGAAGCCGGGCACCTCGACCACAAGACATTCCAGATAGAAAAAATATTTCAAATAATTGCTTAATTCTCGCATCCAGAATTCGAGTTACAATAATATTAATCTTAAATAGACACTTTCACTATAACTTAGTCAATAATAATATCAATATATAAATTGTAAATAATATATCTTAATATATTGACATTTATAGAAAATAAAGAAAAATGACATTATGCATGCAGTATTGGGAAAACATTTCTCGAGAACAGTTTCAGTTCTGGATCCAGGTCTTTAGAGATTGCTGCAAAACATTAGAGCAGTTCGTATTGTACAAATCTTTCATTTCCAGTTCGCCGTGGCTTTAATATTAAAAATTTCTATTTGAGGTGAGGTATTCCTCTATTTTTTTTCTTCATATCATTGACAATTGCAATACTTGACTAATTTCTTAACATTTCCTTTTGACTTTTAGTTTGTTTACAGTATTTCATTTTGACTACTTATTCATATAAAACACTTATTTTGATGATAATCATTTTACACAATAATTTTACTAGTATTTTACCTTTTACTATCGACAATGACAGTTATGTCATATACTGCATTGTCGTTCAACACAACTTTCAACTTCAATAGTATTTTATAATTACCATTAATGTCGTTGCCAAAAATTGACACATAAATACAAAGGTTCAAAACAACACACCAAAAATTTACAACACAGAAAATTAGACATTAAATAATTAGAGGTGCTCTAATTACCTTTAGTAGCAACCCAGTTGAGCGTTTACCAAAAGGAAGGTGTGTCTACCTGTTGGTGATGTAGTTTAAAATTTGGTAGTGTCGTAGTGTGGAAACATGGACAATATCAGTAGGTTTCTTTGTGTGGTAATTCTTTTTATCAATTTCATAATTAAGCTCAGATAATTTTTTGACAATTTGGTATGTTCCAGAATAGGGAGGTGTC